TAATGTTCCTTTCGACAACTACTATCAATAAACCCTAGTTTATTTTTTGCTAACAATGCAACCTTCATAGAACTACTCCATGCAATGTAATTTTCTATACCAGTTAACTGTTGAGGGATTAAGATATAACCCAGAGTATTAGATGGATGTAGATACAGAGGATTCCTTAGGTGAAAATCGGTGAATCGTTCGACCGGATCTCCAGCTGTATGCGCTGGATCTTCAGCGTCAGTTGACATTTGTGCAAAATTACCAGAAATGTTTGAAGCGATTTGAAATTGCAGCTACAACGAGCTTACGATTCCAGAAATTGAACTAACTTTTAGGTCAAAAAAGGAAAAAAATACAAAAAGACTTGTGAAGAAAGAAGAAGCTTTGGACAACACAACAATGGCAAAAATTAGGGTTTGCTATGCTCCGAAAATCATTCTCTGCTCATCGATTGTTCTCAATTGCTCATTTTTCAGCTCAAAATTCAACCGATCGGTTTGCTATGATACCATGTTAAAAGGAGAAATGGAGTTGAGTTAGAGAGTGAGAGCTTGAGTCGGTTACAGAGAGAAGGAGAGAGAAAATCTCAATTGTATTTCTTCAATCTTAATTACAATGTATATCTACACGCCTATTTATACAACTCACTAACTAAGTAACTTAACTATCTTCTAACATAGTCCTTAGCTAACTAATTGTGCAACTAAATACTACTCTATATCCATCAAGTACAACTGTCACAACTACTAATATTTGTACATCCCAAATATTTTTAGATAATTTTTAAAGAAAATTCTATATAAAGTTTAAAAATATATATTTATATGTCGGTTTGGTTCGGATTTTTTTACTCAATACCAAATTAAATCAAACCAAACAATTTTCAACGGTTTGGTTTGACTTTTCAATTTGGGGTTTTCCGGTTTAATTTGTACATACCTAGTATCTACTATCTATACGAATGAATCACATTATAAGAGGGTTTAGAGTAATTAATTAGTACTACTATTTTTTCAAACTTCAAATATGATACAGCCGATCCTCATTTGTCCAATGACCGAAAAACTAATATTCCTATGAACTCTAGTCTAGATTATGCCGGTCTGAAGGATAACAGAGTACATACTCCAACCTTGAGATGAATTTAGATAACTAATGACTGAGCTGAATGTCGTAATACACAGACCTCGTAAATTTACCTTTAGTAAACCCCGCCTCAATTTCATCCCGCGATGTTGACAGTATCAAAGCTGCTGCCATTAGACCTTAAGTTGGGTAGAAGGGTAACTGGAATAGTGGCCTCTAAACTTGAAACTTGTTCCTCGTCCCAAAGTTGGGTGGTGCATGTAGAGTTACATAGCTAGTACTGAACTGGAATGATATCGCTCAGGCTTTGTCACAGAAGACTTTATGCAACACCAAAATTTACCTATGCTGAATGGGGATACTTTTTGGATGTGGCGAAAAGAAACTATCATCTAATGCAGGAATCCCGACATTTTCCCCTGCAAGATATGCTCGAAATCAACTCCCAGTTGAAGGAGTTGGTAAAGAATGGTCAGTTGGAAAATGCACGCCAGATGTTTGACAAAATGACTCAAAGGGATGAGGTCTCATGGACCAACATGATTTCTGGCTATGTCAATGACTCTAGTTCATTACAGGCGTTGTCATTATTCTCAGAAATGCAGCGTGATCCTATTCTCAAAATGGACCCTTTTGCTCTTAGCCTCGCCGTGAAGGCATGCGGGCTTAGTATGCATTTGAGGTGTGGTGAGTTATTACATGGGTATTCGATAAAAGCTGATTTTGTTAGTTCTGTTTTTGTGGGCAGTTCACTTGTTGACATGTACATGAAAGCTGGTAAAGTGTTGGAGGGTTGCAGAGTTTTCGATGAAATGCCTCTTAGGAATGTAGTTTCTTGGACTGCTGTTATAACTGGCCTTGTACGTGCAGGTTACAATGAGGAAGGGTTGGTGTACTTTTCTGAAATGTGGAGGGACGGCGTAGAGTGTGATTCGTATGCTTATGCTATTGTGTTAAAAGCGTGTGCTGATATTGGGTGTCTGAATTACGGGAGGGAAATGCATACTAGGATAGTGAAGAAAGGCTTGGATATTAGCTCTTATGTGGCTAATAGTCTTGCTACAATGTACAATAAATGTGGGAAACTAAATTACGGTATGTGCTTGTTTAAAAGAATGAAGTTGCGAGATGTTGTCTCGTGGACTACAGTAATCACTACATATGTTCAAATAGGTCAAGACCAGTATGGCATACAAGCATTCTTGAGAATGAAAGAATCGAGTGTGACTCCTAATGCGTATACATTTGCAGCAGTTGTTGCTGCTTGTGCAAATCTTGCAAGACTAGACTGGGGCGTACAACTGCATGCAAATGTTGTATGTGTAGGTTTTCTTGATTCTCTGTCTGTGTCAAATTCAATTGTCACAATGTATTCCAAATGTGGACAGTTGGGTTCGGCGTCACTTATATTTCATGAAATGAGTAGAAAGGACATTGTTTCTTGGAGCACTATTATTGCTGGATATGCTCAGGGTGGTTGCGGTGAGGAAGCTTTCAAGCTGCTATCATGGATGAGAAAGGAAGGACCAAAGCCAACAGAATTTGCTCTTGCTAGTGTACTTAGTGCATGTGGTAGTATGGCAATCCTTGACCAGGGTAAGCAACTTCATGCTCATGTTCTTATCATTGGATTAGATCATACACCTTTAGTACTGAGTGCTTTGATCAACATGTATTCAAAATGTGGAAGTATAGCAGAAGCCTCAAAGATATTTAATTCATCACAAGATATTGACGTTGTATCTTGGACAGCCATGATTAATGGGTATGCTGAACATGGATACAGCCGAGATGCTATAAGTTTATTTGAAAAAGTTCTTTTTGCTGGTCTAAGACCAGATTCTGTGACCTTCATTGGTGTTCTAAGCGCTTGTAGTCATGCTGGCCTTGTTGATCTAGGTTTTCACTATTTCAAATTGATGAAAGAGGAGTACAAAATAAGTTTGTCAAAGGAACATTATGGTTGTATGATTGATCTTCTCTGTCGCGCTGGACGAATAATTGATGCTGAGAACATGATCAAGAATATGCCATTTGAAAAGGATGATGTTGTTTGGTCAACCTTGCTTAGAGGCTGTAGGCTACATGGTGATGCTGAATGTGGAAGGCGTGCGGCTGAGCAAATTCTTAAACTTGCTCCAAATTGTGCTGTGACTCACACTACTCTGTCAAACATTTATGCATCAAAAGGGAAGTGGGCTGAAGTAGCAGAACTGAGGAAGTTGATGAGATTGAAAGGCGTCATGAAGGAGCCTGGCTGGTCTTGGATTAAGGTCAAGGATCAAGTCTCTGCATTTGTTGCTGGAGACAAAAGACATCCACAGAATGAAGATATTTATGATATTTTGGATCTTATATCCTCAAAAATGGAATTTTCTCTTCAGAATATTGCTTCTATTTTAGAGTAGCCAAAGCTTGAGATGTTGGTTGAAGCTTCTCGAAGCATGAGCATCCTTCAGAGAACAAAAAAAAAAAAGAAATTTATTCTTTCATTTTATAATCACGATAATCATCATTGGTATACTATACTAAAAGATTCATAGCAATATCCTAACAGCTAAAAGTGATTTGATTAGCATAGCTCGTGGCTCGTGCTTATCACTACAAGCAGCTTTGTTTAATCTTTTCCCCCAAATAGTTTGGCCATTTCCTTCGGAAATGATCTTGATGTGCTCTTTTGTAGCATCGTCCATTTATGGTGTTGTCATGCGTTGTAATTTTGATTCTGAGTTTGCAAAGAGCAATCTGAGTGGTAAAGCTGGTGTAGAGCGATGCTATGGGTTTGTGTTATAGTGTACACATGAAAATATTGCAGTCACAGCTGTGTCAGATAACTTGATGATGCTAAGCAGAGTCGCTTGTGTACTTGCCCTGTGAGCTTTGAGTCAACATGGATGTTGATTCAGTAGGGAATGCAGCCAGATAAGGCATCCTGCAAAACATGTGGAGGAAGATCTTTAGTTGATGGGATAGGATCCATATCTGGAAGCATGCTTAGCACTATCGGTTTGCAAGTTCTATAAATCTAGAGTTGAGTTGGAAAGCTGTGACAAAGAAAAGGTGCTCTGGAAATGCTGCTCAAATGGGGATGAAGGTAGTGAACTAGAGTCCCAAGAGAGTTGGAGGATTTTCAGGGTCAGATATGGACGGGGTACCTTTCATTCAATCTTCTTTTGTAATGATTTTGTAATGACAGGGAACCTTTCGTTCAATCTCTGTGATGGTCATGTTTATTAAGGCCGTGCCACCTCTTAGGCCTTGTGAATAATTCTTTATTGCACATAATGTCTTGTGCTGTTGGTTTTTCTTTTCCAAATTAGAGTGCAAAGCGTTGCAAGTATTCTTTCTATATGAAGTCTTACTTGAAGAAACCAGACGAGTATCTAGCTTTTTATACTGGACTGGAGGAGAAAAGATTCCGTTGCTCTCTCTACATACTGATTGTTCCCTGTTACTTCTTTCTGATCCTGCACTCCAGATATAGCTGTGGAAAACTGAGTGTCCAAAATTATTCCTACTTCCCTTTTTATTCAAATGACTACAGGCTGTTTAGAGCAAAAAATAAGGACAAATTCAATGTCTCTGAAACCTGATTTGTTTTTATTTAAAACTCAGCCTCACCTTGTTGCAAAGGCATTATGCGCATCATCTGTTGCATCTACAGTCCAATAAACTCTTGCAACGAATTGACAAAACTGATGTAAAAAGATTAAATTTTAACAACTTTATGTATGTTATAGATAGCTAGAATAGAGCAAAAGATTCATATAATGAGCTTCAACTAATTTGAAATTAAGAAATAGTTGATTGATTAATTGAGCAAGAAAATCATTAAAATTTTAAATTTTATGGTCGTTTGATAAATCACGTCTGCTCTATGTAAGCTAGCCTAAGACTGTAATGTAACAATAATATAGTATGTGTATTTGAAAGCACCTCTTTTAAGAAATAATGGATGCTGGTACCACATGGATAGAAAAAGAGGGAGAACATGTACATGTAAAATAGCAGTGTCTAATTGAATATAGACTTAAAACTGCAAATATGCGCAGAGTATAAGGACTAAACAGTCACTTACTGCAATGTTGTTTAGTTCAAATAGGAGAAAGAGTCATGCTTATAAACCACAATATCCGGTACTCCTTGCCTTGCCTTGCCTTCTTCACTGACTTCAGGTTCGTTACCTTCGCTTTTTCTCCTGATATCTGAATCTTTTTCTCTTATCTTTCTTGTTTCTAATTCTGGGTTTTAGTTTGGACCATCTTATGTTTCTACATTTCATTGCTGTGGATTTGGGAAATCTGTTTTGCATTCAAGATATTCGATGAAATGCTTCTGAGAAGTTCTGACTCTTGGTTTCCTCTTTTTAATCGCTTTCAGAATATACGTAATATCATTGTTTTGCGATGGAGAATATTTGTCCTCCGATTCCAAGCGATTCATACAAGGTGGGGTTCATAGGAGCTGGAAAAATGGCTGAAAGCATAGCTAGAGGCGTGGTTAAATCTGGGATATTGCCTGCTTCTCGTATTCGAACTGCCCACACAGGATCAGCTCGTCGTACTGCTTTTGAGTCTTTTGGAGTTACTGTTTTTGACAATAATACTCAGGTAATTTCTTTGCTGATAAAAAAAAAATGCTAAAGTAACAGGACAATCTTGTCGGTCATTTGTTTTTTCCTTCCCGAATTGATTTGATCATATGTTCAGACAACAAAATTGGTAATATAAATGCTTCAAATTATTGATGTTTTCACGCTCTCCTTACAGGCTATTAATAGCAACAATCAAAGTTATTGATTTTGAAAAGTTAGAATATAGGTAAAAGATACAATTATTGCGGCGACTGACTTACTTATTGCTTGTATTGATGCAAGACAAGTGACCTTGAATACGTCAGCGAGAAGACCCTTTTTCAGATAAAATAATAACTATAATCAGTGGTGGAGCTAGGATTTTAACTTAGGGGTGTCAAAAGATAAAGAAGTAAAGAAACGAAAAAATAAATGAAACACAGTTTTACTAATGAAAACACAACGTGATTACATTGTCACAATCGTACTCAACAAGGTTTCATTTCTTGAAATGATTTTACAATAGTATCATTAAAAATATACTAAATACATCTTCTTTAACATAAAGCACCACACAACCAATCAAAAATTCATCATTCATCTGACTCCGCACTTAATCTATTTAGTTAGACGGTGCTTTGTCTTGCAGGTGGTTAAGCTGATATTTTTATTAAGCTAAAAAGAGTCTTGGACAAAAAAGAGTTGCTGCTTTTGTGGTCTCATATCTTTGTGTCAATAACTTGTTTGTCATCAAGTTTTGACAGATAAATTACCTATATTTGTGTTACTTTTCTGTGACTAATTGTGTGTTTTTGTCATTCTATTGGTTTCGTTTATACTAATATGTTCAAGTTTAACATTCTTCCAAAGATAGTTTTCCTCCTGCAATGTATAATCTCATATTTCATCGTCATTGGTGGAATAATCATTGGCAAAGGCAACTGGTGAGCAACAAACACTCTTCAAAAGAAACAAATGAAGTAGAAAAATTAAGTTATGTTGCAAACAGGAATAGAATGTACGACCTTCGGGGATTTTTGCTACCCCTTAACGACTGAGCTGAAGCCCCAACTTGTGTCAAGGGGTGTCAAAATGTATATTATATCAGTATAAAAAAGAAATTTGACCTATCTACCCAGTGTAATTTTCCGGCAGAGGGGTGTCGCTTGACACCGCTTAGAAAAACCTAGCTCCGCCCCTGACTATAATGCGAAGCAAAGTTCTTGGATTCAGATTGACCTCAAAAATCTTGTTCAAGCAAAGAGACTCATCATTTAAGACCTGAGTTCACAAATACTTAGCAATTGCTATGTCAGTATCACCTCAAGGTCATCTCATCTTAGGAATAGCAAAAATTTACACAAAATTTACACTATCTTCTTTCTCTATTCGCTTACATGATCGTTTTGTTTTTGTTTTTTGTTTTTCTGAAGATCTTATTTTAGAACATTTGCAGCCTGCATTTTCGGTTTTCTCTAAAAAAAAAAATATCTTTTGTTGTTTCTAGAAATAGGACAATCTGAGATCTAGTAACTGATTCTAGTTTTCTCACTATATCTGTCTTATAACTTTTTAATGGTTCTTTGAAGATTCTTATTTTGCATGTTTCTTGTTTTTGTCCGAGCAGGTGGTTGAAGACAGTGATGTGATTATATTCTCTGTGAAGCCTCAAGTAGGTATGGTGCATCTCTTTTCCTTTCTCTCTCTTTGTCTTCTTTAAAAAAAAAACCTTATGTTTTAGTTTCAACAATTGGGGAGAATTTGAGGTCCATTTTTTCGCCATAATTTTGTTTCTGTTTCGATAGTCGCAAAGTTTCCATTTTGAGGAAACAGGGAAAATAAGTGAAAGATAATATTTCCTCAATGAAATGTTAGAACTAAGCAACCTTAAGATAAAGTTGTAAAACAACCTATTGTAAAGAGGGATCATTTGGTTGGATGCATAAGGAAAAAAATGTCGTAGCAATAACATTCCGCATAACTAATACTCTGTCACGTCCCAAACTACCCCCTTAGACGTGACTGACACCCAGCTAACACCACCCGCCAGGCGAATCATACTTTCTTACCTTAGTCATTAATTTACAGTATTTGATTAATCACAAGAGTATCCAAATAATCTGACAACTAAATTACAAACAATTAATATATTGAAATATTATACTGAAATTCTAGCTCAAATCCCACACTAGACCATGGAGCATCTAAGAAAATTACAAAAGACATCATATGAACTAATGATAAAGACTCTTTTGGCAACCTCCACGAACAATGCAACGGCTCACCTCAATAACTAAATCAACTCTAGCGAACTCGTCAGCTACTAGCTTCGTCTTCGGCTATAGTATCTGCATAGACATGCAAGTAAGGAGTGAGTTATATGTAAATATAACCCAGTAAGATCCTCGACCCGCTACTCTGAATACCTCTGGAACAAGTGTTAGAAAATACAAACACAACGAGCACAGAAATAATATGCACAGAAATTCTTTCACCATATAATTACTTTATAAGGTCCAAACAATTATTCAACAAATACTATATATATCTCAACACAATCTACACTAAGGACTTGTCATTAACGGCATTGCAGGAAATTAACCAAAACGAGTCCACGGCAGCAAGCATACACAATGCCCCAAATCTGCTACGACGGCATACACAATGCCCCAAATATATCACGGCGGCATACACAATGCTCCAAATCTATCACGACGGCATACACAATGCCCCAAATCTATCACGGCGGCGGCATACACAATGCCCCAAATCTATCACGACGGCATACACAATGCCCCAAATCTATCACAGCGACATACTCTATGCCCCAAATATATCACGGCGGCATATACAATGCCCCAAATCTATCACGGACAGTGAAGAAATAATTTCTAATGCCCCAACGCCATAGCACGAGGCTACGCCACATCACACTACATCACAAATCACTTATTAAATAATTTTAGCTTTTTACAATATTTGCGACTGGTCAATGACCACCGATTCTGCCAAGCGCACGCTCGTCTCAACACATGGACCAGGCAGACAAAACATATTTCAAAACGGGGTTTTGGAAAAGCAAGCATCAAAGCTTAAAGTCTCACTTACGTCGCTAACGGGAAGTTACCCAACATTGCAACGTCTAGAACACCAACCAAATGGCCTTCAATGGCCTCAATCTATCAAAAAATTGAATAACGCGTCCTAATTAGTCTAGATGAATAATTTTCATAATCTTAGAACGAGTCAAAATTAAAGTTAACCCTGAGTAAACTAATCAAAATATATAGACCAATTAAGGTCAAACATGAAATTTATTTTCAGCAAAGTAAATTGCCGAAACAGTACATGTTGGCTTATGCCTTATATTCTCAAAGTAAAGCTTATAACTCTCATAATTACTAAATGATTATTCTCTTCCTAATTATTATCATCATCATTAATTTTCAATCATAGAATTCCATTCTTAAATATAGTAGTAAGGATTTCAAGTAGTAGCTTCATATTATTGTGCAGATAGATACATAAAGGCGGTGACTAAGTCTTCGTCCAAATTTAAATCCCATATCTCATCCTTACAAATTATTAATTATATAATCATTATCACCCATTATTATGTCCACTATTTATGGCATAACAACTTCATTCATATCTCCTATACTACCATAATTACTAATTGACTACATAAATTGAAAATATACTCTCAAATTTGTAATACCTTGGCAAACCAACATCCTTAGTTCTTGTAGCTTTTCCCCAATACTAAAGCGCCTTAGCTTTTCTCAAAGGTGCCGTCAAATCCCCAAGGCTTTGTTTCTGTCTTGGTGAAGAAAACTTAATTAATTAGTTTATTTATTATTCTAGTGCCCTAATACTCTCCTAACGTGAGTAGCAATTGGGATGGTTGGGCCTAATTTATTACTTTTATTAGCTAAAGCCCATGATTGTCCAACTATGAGATGTAATGAGAATTGGCCCACTAGCAAATTAACTACTATGCTATCTTATAATTATAATTAACGTCTTTCACTAGCTTAGTATTTGACTTAATAGCTATAAATAAAAATTAATTCTTCAATCTCACAATTAATAATTATTTTTAAAAAAATTCGGATTATTACATACTCCCTCTGTTTCAATTTAGATGACACATTTTCCTTATTAGCCCGTTCAAAAAAGAATGACACATTTCTATATTTAGAAACAATTTCACTTTAAACTTTTTAGTCTACCCACTTTACTCTTAATGAGAAGCTCTTTATAGTCACACAAATATTATGGCCCCACTAAGATTTTGCTCCTTAAGCTTTTAGCAGCACATGTTTCAAAAGTCTTTTTTTTTCCCTTAAACTTTGTGCCAAGTCAAACTACATCATTTAAATTGAAACGGAGGGAGTACAACTTTTCGCTTTTAGCATACAACTCTGTGTTACTAATGTAATTTCTGCATAACTAATACAACGTTATGATTCATGGTATGCAACTATGCATCAGTAATGCAACATTTGATTCTACATAGAGGATAAGATAGGAAAAGATCACTTGAGATGATTTGACTACTTAAACTCAAAATGCACCAATCCTTAGATGCAACTACAATATCTCGGAGTCGTTGCGGATTTAGGTAAAATTAAACACAATGGAAGCAATGGATTCATATAGGCAATATCAACTAGTTGGTGTTAAAGTTTAGTTGTTGTCACAGTTACATTAGGTTATTCCTAAGGAATAAGTGTGAGATTTAGAGAATCTCTAGTTTTAGAGAGTCCTTGGTTTTTCAGATAAGCACTATTCGTTCTCTTTTGCACTTCTAAAAAACCAAAAAAGAATAGTAGTTACAAAAAAAGACAGGAATAGAAGTATATAGAGGATTCATATCCCAACCTTACTATTTCGATATTGAGGAACTCAGGAACAGTTAAATTGAGTGATTGACATATTTTAAAGAAGCTGCAGTTTGCAGATTGATTGCATTTTCACTTTTATTGGATATATTGAAAATTGGTGGTAATTTTGCTGTTCTACTCACTTTTTGAATGCAGTTAAAAATGTGGTGTCACAGTTGAGGCCAATTCTTTCAGAGAAGCAGCTTCTGGTGTCGGTTGCTGCAGGTGTTAAGTTAAAGGATTTGCAGGTTTGTCTGCAAATGGTGTTAGAGCTTCACATAAAATTCCTTAACAAGCTAAATCGTTGAAACAAGCTTTTTATTTTAGATGCTATAGTTTCGGGAGCTGGCTTTGACGTTATAAGGACTTTGTGACTTGATTACCAAATTTGTTCTACAATTTATTGGTAGTTTAATCTAGCACCATGGAAGTGGCAAGTACTGTTTTCTTAAATTAAGAGAATCACGAAACTTTGCTGAGAATCACACAAATTCACCATCAAATAAAAAGTAGGAAAGTTTAAATAATGAAAAACTCTAAACTAAACTTAATAGGACTATTAATCCGTCACAACCAAGAAACTATTGAAAATAATATAAATAATAGTTCTTAAAATACTGATGAGTAAATATCTAATATGGGTATGTGAAGAAAATGCTTGGGTCTAACTCAATCACAAAAGCTAGCTCATTAGATGAGGATTGTCCAAAAACCATATAAGGAAACAGCCCACTTCCTCAACCGCTGTGGGAAAATCAAACAGCCCCCACCTTGGCCTGGTTAACTAGACCGTGAATAACATAACATGAGGATCCAACATTGTGTAAACCAAGAATAGGAATGACCTGACTCGGATACCATGTGAAGAATATGAACGTTGGGCCTAACTCAACCCTAAAAGATAGTGCATGATGTGAGGATTGCCGAAAACCATATAAGGAGACCACATTCCATTTTCTTAAACAATATGGTACAATATAACAGGGTACATGTGGTTTTTGCTAATTTTTAGCATATGTTGAAGCATCCAAGTGCCCATACCCATGTACATACATTTGACATGGCTAGATAAAGGCATATAAGGGTCATGTAACACAGGAAAATAACTATAGAACAAGACTTCTGGATTAACTAGAGAATAATTAAAATTAGTGTGAAAATTTAATTCTGTTCCCTCAGTCCTGTATCATGAGCATTTAGGATCTTTTCTGTGTGATTTCCTATACGTTATTGTGTGCATGATATATGTATAGGGGTGTTCCTTCTGTTTAGTCACTTATTTCCTCTTTCTTTACAAGTAGGGGTGGCAAAATGGTTAAAAGAAAACAGTTAACTACCCATATTATCCACTAAAAAATGGGTTGGATAATGAACTTTTTAAAAACGGGTCAAATATGGATAAGAACCATATTATCCATTTAGAAAATGGATAACCAATGGGTAACCAATAGATAACCAATGGGTCTAACTTTTACATTTGTAAAGCCTCAACTTGGGGGTTCCTCAAGTTAGAGAGACTAAGAATTCTCCCAAAAGTGATATATGCAAGAAGTCATGGATTATATGGTTACCCATATTATCTACCGGTTAATCCGTTTTTTTTCCGTATTAAATATGGATCGGGCCGGATAAATTATCCTTTTTTTCATTACCCGTTTTCGACCCGAACCATATCCGCCCCGTCCCGCCCGTTTGCCACTCCTATTTACAAGTTACATGTCGCTGAAGTAATTTTCTGCTTACATACAACACCAGTAATGAGCAACTTGACACTAGACGCCCGGTGTCAAGCTTCTGTTGTTTTGCAATATACATGATTAACAATGACCTAAAGTGTACATAGTTGAAAGATGGATCATTTCTCTTTTCTTTAAGCTTATGATTTTCTTCTATTGGGCTTATTGCTTTCTTCAAATCAATGACATATTCTTCTTGTGGTTCCAAAGGTAACAGACCTTCTGATGGTGGGAAATTTAAAATTGGCCCAGTAGAAAACTTTTATTTGCTTAATCATATTTTCTAGAAATGAAGGTGAAACCAACGACTCAATTTACTGACAATTAGCTCACATGCCTAAGCTAGCCATGCCTTTTAGTGTCTACTGCTACCTGTATATTTGCTCTGAGTAAAGAGTAGAATGACAACTAGATGCACGATAGCATGCATATCTTCTCAGTTAATGATTCACTTTGTTGATTCAATTTTCTAATTTTTTGCCCATTTCGCTGAAGCATCTCCTATTTTAATCCTTTTCTCAAGGAATGGGCAGGTCAAGGACGATTTATTAGGGTGATGCCAAACACTCCCTCTGCTGTTGGTGAAGCCGCCACTGGTAAATGAGAAATAGATACTGATTTTTGAATCATGTTACAGTTATACTTGATTGTTCCTTCAAATAAAATATTCCCGAGTCAAGTCCTCTCCCTATACTTCAATCTCTAGTTGTATCTAAGCATTAACTTTGGACATGGATCTACCAAATGTTTGTTGTCTATGCTACATTGATTTGGCTATGGATAAGAATCCTATAGGGGTGAATTAGTTTCCGGTAAAGGTGCATGCAGTTTTGAAGAATCCACACTAAGTGCACACCCCATATCATACATATTCCGTTCTACACCAAAGGATTTATGTAACATGGTTTGTTGTTGAGAATTTTGTTTGGAGCCTTTGATAATTAAATAAAAAATTGAGATGTTAGGAAATTGAATTCAGAAGTAATACTTTCTTACAATATCCATAATCAGACTTTTGTCAAATTCTGTCCCATATGTATTGAAGTAATTCTATCTTCTGAAGCACACATGAACTTTACATGTTTGTGACATGAATATATTCTCTTGGTTGATCTTTTACCTTGAAATATTTTCTCTAGTGTAGGTTACTGAGACACTAGTAATTTTAATTTTTTGGTTGATTCTAATATAACTACGTGTGAGTTGTTCTCAGTTATTGCTATTTATCTATCCTTCTAATTTAAGTGTCTTTATATAGTCTTTACTTTGGGGGAAAAGGCAACAACAGAAGATGGAGAACTTATTTCCCAGTTATTTGGAGCAATTGGTAAGGTGTGGAGAGCTGATGAGAAGCTGTTTGATGCAGTTACAGGCTTAAGGCATGTTCTTTTTTTAATGTTTCTAAAACCAGATTTATATCACTTAATTTGATGCCAATGTCTGCTCCTGTGACTAGCTGTTTGTTGAGCCCGCTTGGGGATCTTAGTTCTTCCGAACTGCTTTAGCCTATACAAGCAGAGTTCATGCGAAGTTGGGAATCCAGTACCATTGTTAACAGAGTCTATTCTTTCTCCTTGAAATGTCAGTGGTAGTGGACCAGCCTATATTTTTCTAGCAATAGAGGCATTGGCTGATGGAGGGGTGGCTGCTGGTTTACCTAGGGAGCTTGCACTTGGACTAGCCTCTCAAACTGTAAGTTAACAGTTACTCACCAATTTGTTCATACGCTGTCGTTCAATATGTTAGTATGGTTGTGTTCTTCGGAATAGCGAGAAGCAGCGAAATTGTGCTTTTTCTCTCCCTGATTCAGCCTGAGTTCCATTTAGATGTCAAGGTTCATTTGTTCTATAGGGGTGAGGTGGTTGTTCGCGAAGACAGTGGTTTGCTTACAGTCATATGCATTTTTTAGGCTAAAGTATATTATATTATCTAACTTACCTTGCAACTTTTATATATGTACAAGTACAATCTTTTTCTTAAGAGATGTACTAATTTGTTTTCATCTTTCTACTTGCATCAATTAGTCCTTTCAATGCCTCAAAAACTGTTAACAGTTGTTTATTTTGTAGCTTATTTAACTGACATAGTAGTAGTAGTAGTAAAACTACAGTTAAGCAGTGTTCTAACCCACAATAAGTAGAATAAGTTGGGGATCATCTTTTGAGTGTTCTCTCCTTTGTTATTATGACAAGGGAAAGGCATCTTTTCAACTTCTCTACATTGAACTTTTCTTGTTCTCTGAAAGATTTACTAGAAACTAAAATTTAAATGAGTTGCACATTAGTGATACTGTGTTTAGAGGATTCCTTTTCTTCTTCAAGAGAGAGAGTTACACGCATGCCCTCGAACATGCTGCTGGTTGAGTGACCCACTGATTCTCTGTTGCAGGTACTAGGAGCAGCATCAATGGTCAAGGGTATGGCCAAGCATCCTGGTCAACTTAAGGATGATGTTGCATCACCTGGGGGGACAACCATAGCTGGAATTCACGAGTTGGAGAAGGCTGGATTTCGTGGTATCTTGATGAATGCAGTTGTAGCTGCAGCTAAGCGCAGTCGAGAGCTCTCTCAAAATTAATTTAATTATCACTTAGGTGGTGGACCAGCCGGAAGCTGTGTGTATCAGAGTTGTGAAGTGCTACTAAAGTTGCAGAGCTTGTTGATATATGAGAAAAATGAGGCTGTGCAATTCATTTTTTACCAAAATAAAGCACCGTATCCTTTTACCTTTTGGACCAAACAGCCCATACTTATTAAAGAGAGCGTGGCACAATCACTACAAATAAACATTATTTACACGACAGTTACTAGCAGATTATAAATATTGTGCTAGCATCATGATCATTGAAAATAAAAAAGTAAAAAAGTTAAGAAAGAAGCTTATTATATGTAAACATCAGTTATTAGTCAGTAATAATTTACGGGCAGAAAAAAACTCGAGAAAAGCATCGTATTCATATCTTCTAGAGTGGTGCAAACTGAATAGAGGCATTCTTGGGTTACTACTAGGTCATGCAGTAACAACATTCTTAATTCTGCTTTATTAGTACTAGGTCATGCAGTAACAACATTCTTGCTTCGTTGAGCATAACAAAGTTTTTATAGCAAAGAGACTTGCCAGAAGCTTATGTCCAATCAAACTTGAGAGGCAAACGGTGATAATTATATAGCAACATGCAAATTAAAGACGACAAGTCAATGCCCAAAAAAAAAAATTACAAATAAAATTGATGTATATGATTATACAATAGCTCTCATTAAGCATTCATGAAAACCAATGGATTGCTTCCAAAATTGATCTAAAAACTGTTACTTCAATTTATTTGGACTTGAAATTAGCGTGTCACATTGACTTGGTTGACATAATTTTTTACCTTCCTATACACTATTTGAAACCTTATTACCCTCCCTACTCAAGTTTCAATTTAATTACATGGTCATATACAATTTACCAATTATATACAAATAAGTTTTAAATGAGTATTCCTTTATATTAGGAATTGAGTAAGGAATATCAATTATTTCCTTATCCCTTTATAGTTGCCCACTCTCTCTCTTCGCCTCTCTCTCCGTCTCTCTCTGTCTCTGTCTTCATCTCTCTACTGTCCTTCTGTGTTTTTTTTTTCCAATTTTTCTTCATTTGATGTTTTCTGTTTTTTATGCTTTCTTGTTTGTATAGTAGTNAGAATGAATGTATAAATGATGAAAAGGGATTTAGGAATTTAATATTAAAAAAAGAATTGCTTACTTGCTTCACTTTATTGAATTTACAATCATGTTTATATAAATCCTCAACTTGTTACATTATTGATTTATCATTAGTGGACCACTAGTAAGTGTCGAAGTCGACCTCTCGTCTCTACTTCTTCGAGATTAGGCGGGATACTTACTGAGTACACGTTGTTTTCGTACTCATGCTACACTTGATGTGCATTTTTGTTGCACAGGCATATGCATCTTTAGCGGCCTAGTGGGCGTAGCAGCATGATTGATACGGAGACTTAAGTGAGCTGCACCTCTTGAGACGACCCCCAGCTAGCAGTCTCCTTCAGATTTCCATATTTACTTTCTGTCCTATTTGTATTCCGGGCAATTGTTGTATTATATTATTTCCTAGAGATAGCTCATGCACTTGTGACACCGGGTTCTGGGATGTCTATGGGATTGTTCAGTATTTTGAAATTGTTAAAGATATTAATATTCATTCAGTGGAACTTATTATTTGTTGTTTAAATGTATAAAAGAAATGATTACGGGAATGTCTAAAACGAGAAATCTCTAGCTAAATAGTGTTGGCTTGCCTGACAGTGGTATCCGGCGCCATCACGACCTTAGTGGATTTTGGGTCGTGACAAGTTCTTTTTTAAAAAGTATTTTTGGGGAGAAACTACTTGTTTTTGCTTCTCAAATACTGCTTCTGCTTCTACTCAAAAATACTTTTTTCCTTTAAAAAGCTTTTCAAACACTCTAATTTTAGGAAAAAAGCACTTTTGCCTTAAAAAAGCTTGGCCAAACAGGCTAATAGCCATTGACCTAGCTTTTTCTTAGCTTTGTGTCATTATATCTACTAGCTTTAAGATACGTGCGTTGCACGTGAAAATTGCGTCTCTCAATAAAAGAATTGTCTACCGTACGTATAAACTATGTATAATAGAAAATCGTCCAAATAAATGTAACATGTATTTAAATGAAAAATAAGTTTAATTATATTTTAGCGCAATAAAATTTAAAATTATTGGATATTTAAAAGAATATCCGAAAAAAGAACCTTGGATATAATTAGTGTCATTTTTTTGTCTTGCGCTTACATACGATTAGTACATTGATACAACATGATTTTCTAACATTTATCATTGTACTACTTTGATTAATCTATTATAAATAAGACTTTTATTTGAAAATCATGTTTTTTAAAACGTTACTTGGCACACGTTCGTTTGTCAATTTTGTTTCAGTTGTCATTGCGAGTATACCTGAAATCAATTGTACACAAGTATTTTAGTACCAACAAAGCAGTAAGATCGTAAAAATCGATCAAAATATTTAAAATTTTATTCAAAAGAAAATTCAATAAAAATATTTGAATGCGTAATAAAAATTGAACAGAGTAGGTAAATTTATCTTATAATGCATTGGCGCCACAATATGCAGTACTTAGTTTACATGGGTTAAACAACACCATATCATACTGCAAGTCTGTCCATTATTTCCGTATAGTTTATTTTCGTTTTTTTAATAATACAAAATAAAGGTTTATTTACAAATGATTAAACTTTGTCAACTTTTTAATTAACCAAAAGTTTTACGCCTATTAGGTTATACAGCAAAAGTGACGACTATGACCCGATGACCTCTTCATCACGGGAACTTCAAACAATTAATAATAATACACAAATAGTATAAATATTAAAGAAAGATAAAGCAATTAAATTATCCTAAAGTAAATTAAAGTAAATAGTTATTTTAGAAAAATTCAATCTCTAAAGATCAAAGATTGAAAAAAAAAAACTCGTAGCTGAACTTCAACAAAGACAAATAACTTTCTAAACGTAATAAAATTGTTCTCGTGTTAAAGTAATTTCACTGTTTAGCAAAATTTAAAATTGTAAGTGAGACGGAAAAATTATACACCATACCTTAAAATTAATATTCCTTAAAATTTTATGATGAAAAAATCTAAAATAGTACCATAGTATTCTATAATAACTTTTTTTTATGAGATAAGGAGAATTGTTTACTTGAACCAACGGAAGCATAAAAAATTTTGGGATGCCATTTGTTAATGTTTATTCTTTATAAGTGACACAATTCTTAGATCATGTAATATTTATAATAAAATCAATCAAAAGAGTTAATAAAATAAAATCTTAGAAAATATGAGCAACTTGAGCTGGCACAACAATTAGCAGTTTTAATTAGGGGTGTCAATGGATATTCGAAAACCGACTAAACCGACCGAGCCGTACCGCACCGAACCGACTTTTAGATTTCTTTTTAAGAAACCGTAGATTCTTATATAAATCTATAACCGCGCCGCTAATAAGGGTAGGTTTTTTATTTTATAAAAATAAACCAAAAAATACCGAACCGTACCGAATAAATTTTACATGTGGAAATATATTTATCTAGTAAGTTTAAAAATAATAATGCATTAAATTTTTCTTTGGGCCTTTGAATTATGAAAACTATTACAAGCCAACAAGTAATTAAACTCAAAATATTAATTCCTAAAACATATTATACTACTTCTACTTAAACTAAGTTATTTCAAGTATCTTTATTAGCAAGACACAAAGTATTCTAGCGATAGCAAACTACAATGTATTGAATATGTTTCCTTTCATATAATTTAGATTTATCTTTTTGAATATTTAATATTCTATTGATTTTATTTGAGTCCCATCTTGGTTAATATCTTTCTACTCGTGTGATTTATATTTTCTTTGCCTTTGCTTGATTTCTTTTACGTTGTTGTAGAATAGTTGATGGATCTATACTCTAGCCATCTTTCATTTTTTTTAACTCATCATCCTTTAAATAGTAAAAGTGTGAGTTTTGCTAAGTCATATAAAAGAACATATGTTATTGCATTCTACTTCTACTGGTGAATTTTATATGATATTTAAAAAATATCGAAAAGTAACCGAAACGTACCGATACCGAAGAGAAACCTACATGATCGGGACGGTTTCGAAAAGTCTAATTTTGGTTATACATAATAGGATAACCGAAAAATTGGTATGGTACAAATTTTATGAAATAACCGGCCGAACCGAACCATTGACACCCCTAGTTTTAATTATAAAACATAAGTTTAAATAATCTTGAATTAATAAGTTCTTGAATTGATATCATGAGTTAGAATATCTAACTATTTTTTTGTTACGGAATGCAATGATCTAAAGTCTAAACAACTTGTACAAAATCTATAAATATGCCATTAAACTGATAATCATATATAAAAAATTATAAACAAAAAACACAAAACTAACAACTTTTTAATTTGTATTGTCATTCAAGAATACATGAACCATAACTACTACTTAACTTTCAAAATACATTAAAAATTAAAAAGATTACCTCAAATACAAATCATTTTTGCCTCTAGAGACGTTGTTACTGTCGTATATTCAAACTGATATTCAAATTTTGCTTATTCCAATGATCAATTGTAGGAAACATACAATAATTAAAAGAAAACAAAAATTGTTACCGAAATAAAGCTACATACAATAATTAAAACAAAAATTAAGTTGTTATAAAAGATCCGTAGCATAAGAAAATTTTGACAAAAGATCCCAAATCTAAAGTAAATCCTAAACCTAAACAAAGAAAAGACATAACTAAATAAATATTTACTGGTAAATTAATTCTAAACTAAAAGTGAAACTTAAACCTAAATAATAATAAAAATCCGTATGTAACAAAAACGGAAGTAAACAGCAATTTTTAGTTTTATTCCATAGGAAAAATTTAGAGTTTATAATTACAATTTTATCCAAAATAAAATACACTTACAAAGGATAAAAAAAGCGAACGATATTTCGCTAAGGGCCTTCGTGCTTTTAATATAGTATAGATTAGCTTTCTGATTCTTTTTCTTTCTTATTCATTCGGTTTATGATGAGTTTGTGTTATTTTTCGTGGATAGTTTGGTAAAATGTTAATTGAGAATGATCTGTTTGCCTTTTTCTCTCAATTAATTGGTTTTTTATCTTCCCAGTTATTGCTTCTTTAATATGCAATTAAACAAAGTAATGAAAAGTTGTAACTGCTGTCAATTTTTTTCGCAGATGCCCACAAAGAGATATAA